GTTCTGGTTCCAGCTACAGGGTCAATTCCAACCTCTCATACGAAACTCCGTATGGGGCCTGCAGCGTCGGTGACGGAAACAACCGTTTTGGAAGTCCCTTTGCGTCGCCCAAGTCGCAGTTCTCATCCACTCCCGTCGCGTGACTGGTAACCTAACACCGTAACTGAGGAAAGCGGGTATTTTTTGGGATGCTGATACAGGGCTGGAAGGAAAACAGACGCGCACATAAAGGAATACACATAGACATTTAACGGAACGGAAGCTAAGGATAAAATGAGGAAATAATAATGGTACAACAACTCGAGCATAATTTACAACCCAATAATAGCATAAAGTTACACCAACAATTTTTTTATCCCCATAAGGGTTTAACCTTCATTGACAATTATAATATTATATATATATATATATATATATATATATATGGGAAAACTGTCAAATAGGTCCTCGAACTTTCATAAAAAGGTCAATTAAGTCCTTCTATAGGAGGTTCTGTCTGGCCGTCGCGATTTGGGGCGGTTCCTGGTGGAATTTTTTGATGAAATTTTTTGAGCATCTTATTCATCAGGTCTAGTTTACTCATACCAAATGTCAGCTTAAAATTCAATCGGGAACACATTCAAATTAATTCGTGAAGATAACTGCGCATTTTGACGTTCTCGAATTAATTTGAATACGTTCCCAATTGAATTTTTAGCTGAAATTTGGAATGAGTAAACTAGACTTGATGAATAAGATGCTCAAAAAATTTTATCAAAAAATTCCACCGGGAACCGCCCCAAATCGTGACGGCCGGACAGAGTCTCCTATAGAAGGACTTAATTTACTTTTTTTATGAAAGTTCGAACACCTATTTGACAGTTTTCCCTATATATATATAAAATCAGAGAATAGAATGTAAAATATATAAATATCCATAATGATATTGATGGAGTATATGGACTCCGACCCCCGGTCTGCCGACTACTGGGCCTGGACAGCGGCCCACACACGTTTAGCAGATTCATATTATTATACATTATTATTATTAAGATGTTCTAGATTAGTTTTTTATATTATCAGTCCATTTATGTAACCGGGTCTGTCAGGCCCATATTAGAGGCCCGGACCCGGATTTTCCCTATATATACTCCTTATAGAAGGCTTGTAAACCACAATCAATATTCATTCACAGTAAACATATATCTCCTTCTCCATATTCTTTGTTCAATCTTTTCTGTTTATACAGTATGTGTATCAATTATCCAACATTCCTTATGATATATATCCCGGTGCAGATATATATCTGAAATTCTAATATATGTAAAAAGATATAACTAATGTTCCTATGATAAAATTAACGCTTTAATAAATAAACTTAATACATTTAAGAAAAATTAAAAACAAATTACTACGTGTATATTAAAGTCATGGGCAACATAAGTGATAAGTGAGACATTAGTGGGCATATGATTTGGCCAAATTATCAATGTTTTGTAAGGCCGGCCAAATTATTCGGCCTATTGCTATGACGGAGAGTAGAAAGAGTACTCGTAAGTCGTAACCGGAAAAAGAGTGCGCGGCGTGATTGCGCGTTGAATTAAAGAAGGAAACATTGCAGCTTCTCTCCGACTTTCCTTTGTACGGCTGCTCCATTTCTGTATCGCTGCTTGACTCAATTTACACGTGGACTTTGACCACCTTCTTTTCCAAACGTTCCTTCAAATTCAAATCTTTTTAAAATGAAGTTTATAGTTTGTTCACCAAGATAGAATTGTTCTCGAAACCTAACACAACCATCTCGTGACAACAACCGTTAACTCTGCATGTTAGATCCATTCCCTTTTGTCCATCCGACTGTGTCACAAACAAAAAGAACGGATCGAGTCACGAAAGACCGTTGACTGCAATTCAGTATTAACAATTTTGGGTGTCTAATGTTTTGATTTTTTATATTTTGTTTATTCCTACTCCGTTCCAAAATACTTAGTTAAATCCCAAAATTTGGACGTCATTTTGATTAAAAAATGTTATAACAGTCTAAATTTTATACTTCCACGAAACTACCTTTATAAAGAACATTTTCTTATCATTCTTATATTATAAAGGGAAAACAGAAACTAATAATCCAACCTTTTAGCCGCATTCTTACAATATTCCTACATTTTTGTTATTCATGAATAATCCAACCTTTGCATCTCATTTTCATTCACTGGTCCCTGACCGGTTGATGACATGCTATTCCAAGTTATTTTCTTATCTTTAATTTGCAAAATATTGTCTTTGTGAAAGGTGAGATTTATGGTATAATGGTTTGCAAAGATAAGAAAATAACTTGGAATAACAGGTCATCAACCGGTCAGAGACCAGTGCATGAAGATGAGGTGCAAAGGTTGAATTATTCATGAATAACGAAAAGGTGAGACTATTGTAAAAGACCACTAAAAGGTTGGATTATTAGTTTCTATTTTCCCTATTATAAATTATTTTGAATATATATATATATATATATATATATATATATATATATATATATATATACACTTCGTATATATTTGATCAAAGTTTTGAATTTGACTAAGTATTTTGTGACGTAAGTAATAGACACAAAATATAAGGTAATTATTTTTAAAGTTTAGAGAAGTATGAGAGCATCTCCAATGCTACAATGTGCATGGTGCACATGTGACATGAGAGAGATAGACACAAAAGATTGATTTTATGACATTTCTCTCTTCGTCTTTCCACGGCCTTATGTGTTTATGGTAAGTTTTTCTATGCAATGTCAACCATAATGTCTACATCTAGATATTGTGTTTGACATTGTGAAGAAAAACTTACGAAAATGATATAAGTTCCTTCAAATAAGGAGAAAAATATTTTATTTATTGCTTTTTGACTGGTTATTTCTCATGTCACGTATGCACCATTAACGTTTTGGCATTGGACTAAAAACATAAGCTTTATCTCACAAAGAAAAGTTTTTTAATTTTTTTCAAATAGTATAAGAGTACATCTACAAGTATACGGACTAAAAATCAAAAGATAGAAGTAGCCAAAGAGCCCTAGTATTTCCCTCGCATCTCCACACAATTTAGAATTCACATTAGAATATATGATCTCAACAATTGAAAGAATATTCAACATTTCCCCAATGACCATTCACTTTTACACCAATTTACTATTTCTCTCCAGCATATATAAAAACGAGGGAAAACTATCAAATAGGTCCTCGAACTTTCATAAAAAAGTCAATTAAGTCCTTCTATATGAGACTATGTCCGGTCGTCGCGATTTGTGGCGGTTCCCGGTGGAATTTTTTGATGAAATTTTTTGAGCATCTTATTTATCAAGTCTAGTTTACTCATACCAAATTTCAGCTAAAAATTTAATCGAGAGCGCATTCAAATTAATTCGAGAGCGCAAAATTGCGTAGTTATCTTCAAGAATTAATTTGAATGTGTTCCCAATTTAATTTTTAGCTGAAATTTGGTATGAGTAAACTAGACTTGGTGAATAAGATGCTCAAAAAAATTCATCAAAAAATTCCACCGGGAACTGCCGCAAATCGCGACGGCCGGACAGAACCTCCTATAGAAGGACTTAATTGACCTTTCTATGAAAGTTTGAGGACCTATTTGACAGTTTTCCCTAAAAAACGAAGAGTATCCAAATAAAATCTACTTGCCTATAAAATATTAATTGAAGAGAAGAAATTTGAACATATATTCCACACGATTAATTGTTTAAACGTATTAATCCATATGTTATACTTCCTGACCATATCACTCTAGTTGTTCCGTTTGTTTTTTCACGTAATTTAAGATAATTACAGTAGACGTTATGAAAAGTAAGAATTTTTTTTTACTATAGCGACACTGTATCAGTATTGTAGTGATATAGTTGCTTTTTAGATGAGTTTCTTTCTAAAAAAGAGAAATGAGAGAATTAATTTGAATAACTAAAGTGACACAAATGAATAACAAATTAAATTGTATAAAATTTGTTCATTTGTTTATAAGTTGTTACTATCCTTTTCTTTTAAATACTATTTGGACGGTCTTAAATGCCATACGGCAAATGAAAAGCATTAAATTAAATGCTTTTGCTGATAAAACCAAAAATACTATTTTATCAGTGTGGCCCTTGCTCATAAAATAGAAGGAAAGGCTATGAGGCAAAATCAATGAAACTGACGTTCAAAGAAAAATAAAATAAAATTTAACATTAACATTTTCGAATAAAAATAAAGAAAATAACTGAATATTATATGCAATCAACCAATGATAAAAAAAAGTACGAGATATGCAATCAACCAAAAATACTACATACGATAATATCATATATTCCCTCCGTCCCATTTTAGTTAGCCAATCTTGACTTTTCCGGTCAAAGGTGGTAAACTTTGAGTAATTATTTGAACAAATATATTTATGCAAAAAATAATAATTTTATACTTTTATGATAACCTTTTCAACAAAGAACATTTTCATATAATTTTCATATTATTAATATTTTATCTATATAAATATATAAGCGGTCAAAGTTAGGTACCATTGACTTGGAATATCATGTTTGGCTAAGTAAATTGGGACGGAGGGAGTATGTAATTTTTGATTGTACAATAAAATGGTATTAAAGCATCCCTTTTACTTCAAATCGAGTCATTCTAATCATATAATGACCCGAATTAGAAATTTAAAGTGTTTCTATCTTGAATAAGTGTTTATGTGGGGTAATATTGGAGTATTATAATAGCTAATTATGGTATGAAATAGTTATATAAAAAAATTAAGGTATTAAATAGTTATATACATTTCTCTAAATATGTACTCTGCACTTTAATTATAAATGAATAAAATTCCCGGATCCCAAATAATACTCCGTACTAGTAAGTTGCATTCACGTAAAAAGAGGCCATAGTCTTGATAGGAGTAGGACTATTCAAAGCCGAATTTACTTTCCTAAATGAATTTCACCCACCGCCACGAGAAATCTATAAAAAGTCAAGCCACACCTTTCCCAATTTTCACCCATCTATGCTGTCCCCAACCTACTTCCTTTCCTGACCATCAATTTCGATCTCCGACGTTGTTTTGGGCGGAGGAAGCAAGAACTCGACGAGCGTCCCGGCCGGAGGGCTGATAGATAGGCCACGCAGTCAGATTCTCTGATCGGAGAATCCACGAAAACGATGAATCGACTTTTGTGGATTCCGCTGCTGATTCTGGGTCTGATGGCATCTCACTGCTACGCTCAGAATTGTTCCGGTCACGTCTTCTCCAACAACGCCAGATTCGCCGCCTGCAACAATCTCCCCGTCCTCAACTCCTTCCTCCACTGGACCTACCACAGCGGCAACCACACCGTCGACATCGCCTACCGCCAGACCAATGTCGCCGCCTCCACCTGGGTGGCTTGGGCACTCAATCTCGTCGGAACGAAGATGCCCGGCGTGCAGTGCCTGGTGGCCGTTCCTAACGCCGCCGGCGGCTTCCGCGCTTACACTTCCCCTGTCTCCGGCTACTCCACTCAGCTTGCGCAGGGCAATCTGAGCTTCGGCGTTCCCAGACTCTCAGTCCAGTCCGCCAACCAAGAGGTCGTCATATTCGCCACCCTCGTTCTCCCTGCCAACCGGACCAGTTTCACCACCGTCTGGCAAAGGGGGCCCTTCTCCGGCAACACCCCTGGAATTCACGCTATGACCAACGCCAACAAACAATCTATTCAGATAGTCAATTTCGCCACAGGCCAGACCACCGCCGGTGGAACTGGAGTCACGTCTGTTATGCGCAGAAGAAACGTAAGCCGCCGCAATCTCCTATCAACCTTTCAATTAATTAGAATCCCTAAAATTTTAGCTTTTAAAGTTTTTATGCATATATAAATATCTTTGTCTCTCTTGACCGGAATTTGATCATGTGCAGATTCATGGTGTGTTGAACGCCATCAGCTGGGGTATACTGATGCCCATAGGCGCGATGATTGCAAGATACGTGAAGGTGATCCCATCAGCCGACCCGGCCTGGTTCTATCTACACGCTGCCTGCCAATCCTCCGGCTACGTCATAGGCGTAGCCGGTTGGGGCACGGGACTAAAGCTGGGTTCAGAATCCAAGGGAATTACCTTCAAGACCCACAGATGCATCGGCATCATCCTCTTCTGCCTTGCCACTATTCAGGTACGGCCTACATTCCGCTCTTATTGATTGTCAAAAGTGTCTCCATAGCTTTGCAATGACTACCGGTTTGGTATATTTTTCATGGACTACATGATCATGTTCAGTAGCTAGTTGTATTTCAATAGTGAGATTGTACGAAGAACTGCTTATAACAATTGAATATACTGCTGCAGTTAACCGCGTTGTTTTTGAGACCGAAAAAGGACCACAAATATCGACCGCAGTGGAAGTACTTCCATACCATCGTGGGGTACACGACGATTGCGCTGAGCATCACCAACGTGTACAAGGGATTTGATGCATTGGGCAGGGAGGATAATTGGAAGAAGGCGTACACCGGGGTGATCATTGCCTTAGGCGTTGTGGCTGTTCTCTTGGAAGCCTTCACATGGTACATTGTGTTGAAGAGGAAGAAGAGCGAGGATAAACGGAACACCAGCTATGAAGGCAACAGACACAATCCTAGCACAGTCTAGCTGCATAATACATTCCTTAGATGATTATTACTGTCTATGTATACACGCATTGATCTTTGTTATTGAGGCCGCAGTAGTTTTACATGTTCCATCTTAGCTGCGCTTTTTGCTTATTTTCCCCCCTTTTGTGCTATATACATATTCTTGGGGTTAGCTGCGGTGTGTTAGAATCATTTTTTATGTATGACTTCAGTAGTCTGGAGACTTTGATTTGGATTTTGGAGTAATATCTTAGCACACTGATGATCCCGTGAAATACTCTTGCTTGCTTTATTTTTTTTAGTATCAATCTTTTTTATGTATGATTTTGGGTTATTACCTTGGCACATTTTTTGTTTGGCTTGGTCTTATACGCGTACAATCAAGTATGAGAAGAAATCTACTTCCATTAAAGTATCAATTCAATGGTTGGTTAGATTGAGCGTAAACGTCTTATACTTTTCGCAGTCGGATCCATTCACACTTGATATTTTATGACCGGAACAGTGGACTTGACCTGTATTTTCATGTCGGAGGAATTGTCGTTTCCACACAGGGTTGAGTTCTACTTTGTTTTCAATGGACTAAAATTACTTGTACAGATATAAGACCATTTGGAGTGGTGCAAGAGTCCAAATGTCAAAAATGGACTCCGTCGATATGAAAAACAGTGTTTTGACTCCTATTCTCTGCATTCCAGCATCGTCAATAAAATACACTCTGCATATTTTTTTACATATCAATTTAGTAAAACATTAATTAAATTATTATAAGTAATGTTTTCCTTTTAATTTTTTCTCTGATTAATCATAAAATAAAAAAGACACATTTCGATGTTAAAAAAATAAATTTCATTATTTTTTTTTTACGTTTTTTCCCGAGTGATTTTCAACACATTAGAGCATTGGATTCTCTTCTCAACTTTGTGTCTATCCATAACACATTGGATTCCCTTCTCAACTTGTTGTATCTTTTCAAATCACATTGGATTCTCTTTTCCATTATTTGTGTCCTTTCATAGCACATTATATGACATTGGATTCTCTTTTCCACCATGTGTAATCTTCCATACCACATTGGATGCTATTCTCCACTTGGTCCAAACATATTAATTTGGATGTATCCTCCATTTGGTGTGAACATCAAAGAACTATATTACTATAAATACATGGCCTCACTTGACATTGGAATCACACACCTCATCTTTACTTCTCCCATTTTCAACAAGGCCAAAAACATCACGAGTTCTTTTCCCGCATTTTACAAATCCATTAATGAAGATGAAGATGAAGAAGCTTATTCCGACCGCATGCGCATGGCTTTGATGGCTTCTTTGGTTGCAACAAGCTCCAATAGTAGTCGTGATTACATAGACCGTGGTCGGGAAGCTGGACACCGTTTGTTGATGGGTGATTACTGGAACCAAAATCCCACCTACAATGCACGTATCTTCTGTCGTCGTTATCGCATGCAACCGGCTCTATTTGATCGAATCATGAAAGATGTCATGGCTTTCGATCCCTATTTTGTAAGTACAGTAGATGCAGCAAACAAGGTATCTCTTTCTCCTAATCAAAAACTCACTAGTGCAATATTTATGCTCGCCAATGGTTGCTCGGCTGATTCATTAGATCAATTATGTCGTTTGAGTGAGACAACTACACTTTTGTGCATGAAAAAATTTTGTAGGGCAGTTATTAGTGTGTATGGTTCTTGGTACCTACGAACCCCTAACCCCGGGGATCTGCATCGTCTTCTTGAAAAGGCCTCGAAAAGAGGCTTTCCAGGGATGATTGGGTCCATTGATTGCATGCACTGGGAGTGGAAAAACTGTCCTACATCTTGGGCCGGCCAGTACACCGGGTACAAAAGAAAACCAACAATTGTGCTTGAAGTAGTTGCTTCTTATGATACTCATATGTGGCATGCATTTTTTGGCACAGCCGGTTCCAACAATGACCTCAACACTCTTGCAAGCTCTCCAGTCTTTGATGCTGTTGTAAATGGATCTGCCCCTCAGGTACAATTCCGCTTTATTTACACTTTATCAATTCAATACCAACCACATAATTCCACTTTTTCTTAAAAACCACACCACACCCCTCCGTCCCAAACTTAGGGGGACGGAGGGAGTAACACATTGAATAAATTAAAATAACAAAACATGGAATTTAAAAGTGAAACATATGTGAAATTCAACTTACAACACAATACAAGATAAAAACAACAAAACATAATAACTAGAAATCAAAGTGGGGACGATACACTTCTTCTGCAGGAGTGTCGGGAACATCACTTGAGGAATTTTGAGAATACCCCATTATTTCATCTTGTTTTTGCTTAATCCACCTTTGCTTCCTCGGTGAAAACTTTGAAAGGTCCGCAGCTAGTAAGTCATACTGGTTTCTCGTAATCTCCGACTCTACGGCTTTGTGTTGAAGCTCATCACGCTTAGCTCTTCTTGAAGCTTGCTCTCTGCCTTGCTCAATCATTTCTTGTAAACATTGCGTCATCATTGGATCTAACTTAGACACCTTTGCCTTTCCACTTCTTTTGGCCTTTTGCTTGTCCCGGCCTTCGGGACGTTGAAGTGGCTCTCCATCCGAGGGAGAGCTAGCACTACCTCCGAGTGTGGGCGAATCGTGCGATTGTGGAGACGATATTGGCCGGGAGAAGGATACCGGAGCTTTGTATTGTTGGTACCACTTCGGACACACTTGGAGGACACGCCACGCATGCTCAAATTTGAATGTCTTGTCATTGTTATGAAAATGTCTTTGATTTGAAAGTTCTACAATATAATAATAATAATAATAATAATAATAATAAAGGAGTAAAGTGCATAGTAATATAATTAAATGTTTTAATTACATAGTTATATGTATATTTTGAATATAACTAATATAACTAATATACACTAATATATACGTAGTAAATAATATAACGAATATGTATACTAATCTAACTAATATAACTAATTAATATAACTAATATATATAACTACGATTATACGAATATATATACTAATTTAATAACTAATATATAGTAATTATATACTAATATCATACTAATATTATACGAATATATATATATATATAAATGCTTTAATTACATAGTTATATATATACTTAATATTATACGAATATATACTAATATACTCTAAAATATTAATATTGTTATACATATTTCGAAAATATATTAATATATACTTTATGAATTAAAATCAAATAATAGAGTAGTTTAGAAATTACCAAATCGTCTAGGTTCGACCCACTCCTCGGGGTTGCGTTTGCTTTCTGCACACAACCTTTCCATAGAGAACATTGATTATTGATGATCTTAAAACGGGACTCAATTGAATCTCGAGTTCGAGGAACATGACTTTGTGCCGAAAATATCTCGTGAATTCGGCCCCAAAAAGTCTCCCCCGGTTGATTTATTCCAATGGCACCATCTTCGGATATGGTGACCCAGGCGTTGCATAGAACAACATCCTCTTTAGCACTCCAATTAACACCCCTTCTTGAGGAAGACATAACAAAAATATTGTGAAAGAATATGATGAAGAATGAGAGAGGTGAGAGATGTGTGATTAAAATGAGAAGGAATGAGGTGTTTATATAGGATTTTCGAGCAAAATATTAATTAAAAATAATTGAAAAATAAAATAAATTATTTGAACCGTTGGATTTAAATTTCAGCCGTTGGATCATTTTTTTCCAGTTCAAACAGTGCCAGGATCATCACAGCCGTTGGATCTATCAAAAGTTTTTTTAAAAAAAAAACAGCCGTTGCTAGTGCATGCTGACATCATTCTGACGTCATCATGATGTCAACGATGGAAATTAATTCGAAGACCAGCCCCTGCTTCCCGCCTGCGCACAACAGGTATGCCCCACTCCCCTTTTTCTTTTCTTTTCCTTTTTCTTTTTGGCTGTCCAAAATTCCTCCAAATTTAACCCCTTCCCTCCCCAAACCCATTTTTAATACCCTCTACCCTCCACCAATGTATGAAATTAGGAGTCCAAAAATGCCATTTTAACATTTTGGACTCCTAATACCTCACCACTCCATTTGGTCTAATGAAATTAAAAATAAAAATTGAGCTCAAATATAGATAAAATTAGTGACGCCCAGAGGCCAGAGCCAAGTAACATCTACATGTTCTCTTTTTACTCTAAATTGGATTGATTTGTAATTTGAGTTTAATTTATTTGAAATAACATACTCGCTTTTAATTAATTTAGCCAGAAGCTGGGACAAGTAACCCAAAATCTTGTTTGTTGGGATAATGGCCCAGGCCGAGGTCCGGCCCATTAACCCCCTTTTTTCTATCGGACGCACGTCAAGCTAGGACCAGGCTGGGCGCAGGCCCAGGACCCTTGGGAAGAGACGAACGTCCGGAATTGGGGGGCCCAGGTTCAAACGGCCCATCACGACGAACGTCCGTGCAGAGGCAAGGGGCAGGATCACTGGCCATCAGGGATGACGACGAACGTCTCCTGGGCAGGCCCATGATCGTCGGAAGAGATCCAGTCCACATGGAGAGAATCCACAAGGTCAGGGGACGAACAGCCGAAGTCTCCTGAAGGTCACTTGGAGTGACCCAACTCACCCCTGGCGGACGAACGTCCCCATTATTTAGGCGGGAAGCCTAGATTCTGGCGGGAAGTGCATTTAATGCAGAAGATTTGGTGGTTGGGACACAAGCGGTCCGCAGGCCTCCACGTCAGCATAGCCACCTGCCCATTGGCGGGTATAAATAGAAGCATTTATTTCATTGTAAAGGGTTGGCAACTTTCTATTCTTAGCACTAGCTATAGCATTCTTACTCGCAGCACTTCTACTGCCTTGTGAGACGAACGGCCGACGGAGCCTTAGCGAAAGTATTGTATTAGGGAGTTATTAAGAGATAATAATACCTAATCACTTACTTGCTACCTTATTGTTTCTTGACCCTTATCATCTGCTTGTTGGGCTAGTTATTCGCACGCACTCCGCTCGAAATCTTTAGGCTTACGTGTTGGGCCTGAAGGTTGAAGGAATAAACCTCAACATTGTTCATACTCCCTTCATCCCGAAGAGATGGTCAAATTTCCATTTTGGGATGTCCCTAAAAGGTTTGTCATTTTCATTTAAAGTAAGCAATATGTGATTAAAATTAATTCTCTATCCTCTATACAAATTTCAACCACGCAGTTTTTATTTTATTAATCAACGTGAAAGTCAATTGTGACCAACTTTTCGGGACGAAAGGAGTACAATTTAGCTAGATATCCAAAATCTTAGGGAGTGTTTGCGATTGCTTCAACTTTAAAAAAGTGATTTTTAAAGTGATTTTGGGAAAACTGATTAATAGTAAAAGTTGGTAGTGTTTGAGAAAAAAGTGATTCTGAAAAAGTAAAAGTTGGTAGTGTTTGATAAAATAAGTACTTTTTGTGTAATACAAAAAGTGAGAAGCAGTTTAAAGCACTCTTCTACCTGCTTCCAGCTTTTAGCTTTTAAGTGATTAATTTAAGCAGAAGCTATCATTTGAAAACACTCTTTTTAGCCAAAAGCTGAAAAACGTTTTTTTTAATCAATCTCAAACACTCCTTTAAGCCGGACCAATCTAGATCCGCTGCAAGTTCGAAGTATAATTGTGGCTGGGTTTTAGGTGGATTTTAAGAGTTGAAAATGGTATGATAAGACTGCCGATTGTATTAAAAGTTTTTGGTGAAAAGTGAAAACACCACGAGGAGTGTGTTTGTATACAAAACCCAACAGTCCGGACAGTCTGTACTCTGTCCCTTAGCAAATTACAAATTGGGTTAAGATTCCAGACAGATCTTGAGCATCCTAGACCAATGACTTGAAATTCAATTGTTTATGCTAATTTGAAAAGTGAAATTTAATGGATTATTAGAAAATGTCTTGGGAGAAAAAAATTGAGACCCATTCATATTACTTTGGTAAAGACTTCGAGACGTGCGCAGGGAGGAGCCGAGGAGGCACATGGTCTGCCTGCGGGAGTGCGGATTAATACCATGTATGTGTAAATAAGATCACGTATGGTTTATTCCCATATAGGATCATCCCACAACCTTATTTCTATTTTAAAACATATACCATACGACATACTACGTACGTTACTTCACATGTCAATAAGCGGTGCTTAGTAAAATCTGTGTTAATAAGCGTCGCGTAAAATAAGCAGTGATATAAATTGGACCGACTAATTAGCCTAGTCGGCCTAATCGGCCCTAACTATAGAGACCTAGTCGGCCAAAAAATCGCTCCCAGAATCGCCCGACTAGCGCCTATCGAGTTTTAGGACAATGGCAGGTACTACTCCTTAACCTTGATAGTCATCTCGTCTTCAGGAGGGGGGCTAGGGGACTACACCTCGGCCAAAATCCAAAAGCACAAAAAATGCAAGAATGACACAAGGATGTCATCCTCACCACTGACTAAGTAATCTCGGCACCAACCACAGAAATCAAAACGCAAGATAAAAATATAACTCTACACCCTTGCACCTTGAAGACTCTCGACTCAGAGAGTGAGGACTCTTGATAGAGTACATGGGCCGACATACTCTTGGACACACCAACGGCCCAATGCCCATTAAGCTACCTGGGCCTCTCAACCAAATACAACCTAGAATAAAGAAATACAGCTGCGGGGCTATATGTACTGTGGACCTCAGACATGTCACCCAGATACGTCACCTTGGCTAGACATATTCAGAGATTCCAGACAGAATCGCACGAGAATAGGAGCGGAACACCAGATCCGAGGTGCACCAACACCTCAGACAACATCACCTCGTCCAACAGAAGATACCTGGTCTGAAATCGGTTAAAGAATGACACGTGCCACACTATGCCACACATCAGGTCTCTTGCTCATAGAATGACCAACACGTGTATTGCATTTAATGCACCGCCTCATTAATTACTAGTATAAATACCCCGCTTGGGGTCAGTTGTAAATGGTTCAAATCCCATTTCATACAAAACACTTTCTCGCTCTACTCGTAGCTCTTTCTTCTCTCTATAATACCACCAATTCAATGGTTTACCGTGAAGCTATCAGAAACTTTAGTTCCAATCAAAGTCAACACAGATATAATCTATTATTATAAATATAGGAGTTTCCGGACTATTAATAACAACTGCTACCTTCGTCCTGAAAAGGTTTGCCATATTGACTTTTCTTGGTTAATGATGGCAAAGTTTGGACAATGATTTTAGTTATTATATTTGTATATAATTTCTAAATTTTATACTTTTATGATAATATTTTAAATAAGGAACATTTCGATATAATTTTCACATTCAAAATAATTTCGTATTAAAAACTATCATCGGTCAAAGTTGATCGTTTTTAACCAAGAAAAATCAGATTGGCGAACCTTTTTAGGACGGAGAGAGTAAGGCAATTCACCTATTGACTAGGAAAATTGAAATTTAATGATAGTGTAGAATTGTTATTGTTTATGTGTGTAATTTTAACTAGTTTTATTTGTTGTTGTTTGGGAAATTACACACTTTTGGTGTAATACTTTATTTTTCCTATTTTGTTTTTAATTTGTTTAGATTAGGATTATTCTAAGTTTTAACTAGGTAAAGATCATCAAAAGGATCCTTGGAAAGGTCATGGAAAGTGCAAATGAACAAGATCAAGTGAAAATTTGGAAAAATAGTCATTTACCTGGTCGGGTAAAGCATTTACCCGATCGGGTATTGACTTGATCCGAAAATCAAATCTGATTTGGAGGCAATTTAACGTGCAGGCAAAGATTTGGCAAAGATTTGTATTTTACCCGACCGGGTAAATAAAAAACCCGGTCGGGTATAATGTGACAGATGGAGGTTCCAGGCACTTACTCAAGAAACCTGATCGGGTTTCTCAAAAACCCGGTCGGGTAAATGGCCCTGGGAGCTCCAAACACCTATAAATACAACGCTTTTTCTTCCCATTTGATTACCAATTCACATGCTCTCTTAAGCTCAGTTTAGAATAACATTTCTTTATATTTTTCTAGTATGTTTAGTCTCCAAATGAGGAGCTAAACTTCCATTTCTTTGTGTTGCTCTTGAAGCTTGTTGATTATTAAAGTTGTGAGTTATTTTCTTAACTTCTTCCCTTGAATATTAATTATTCCCTTAATCTATCTCTATATTAATGTTGAGGAGTGTTACTAAGATGACAATTAGTTAACATCTCGACATTAGTTATAGTAGTATTTATTTTCTTCCTCTATATATTAATGTTGGGGAGTGTTGCTAAGATGACAATTAGTTAACATCTTGACATTAGTTATAGTAGGATTTATCATCTTTAATATTCTTTCGTGAATATTAGTTAATTCCTATTCATATTTCATATTAACATTTTGAACATTACTTAAAGGATCAACTAGTTTTGTTTCATATATTAATTATTACTAGAATCAATCAACGAACCGATGGTTAATCGTTGTTGGTTAAATCGAAACCGTTGTGTTGAGGTTATCAATCTTAATTGAT